GACCCCCCCCCCTCGACTTCGCCAGGCCGGGGAGAGCCCCCCTCCCCCCCAGGGGCCTCAGGTCTCTCTCCCGCGAGCGCCAGGGACCCCGCTGGGAGCCTCCGCAAGGCCGGGGAGCGCCGCTTTGGCCGAGGGCGGCTCCTCCGGCCCCCTGCTCTGCCCTCCCCCCCTTGCCCCCCACCCACCCGGGGGTCACGTCCATGCGGCCGCCAAAACCCCGGGACTGAAGCCCTTCGAGGCAAGAGGCCGACGGCCGGGGCCAGGCCGTCCTCTGGTAGGAAGGAGAAGACGTGTCCGCCTGCACTCCCGGGGCCGCGCCGTCGCTCGGGGCTTCGCAAGCACGGCTGCAGGACTAAGCCGGCGGCACCCGGGCCCGATTAGAAGAGGCCTGGATGAATAAGTGTGTCCCCCACCCCCAATTCCTTTAAATGCCCGCACTGCCTTCTTCGGGAACGCTTTACCAGGTCGCCGGCAATTGGCATAGTTCTGGATCCGCCGAGGACCTGTTTCCAAACAGCCCCCCACGACACGTGTCTGTGATTGTGTGTGTGTGTGAGAGAGGGAGAGAGCTGCGAGCGAGCGCCGGAGACCTGGCCTGCGATCCTCTTTTCACCTTTTTTCACCTTTGGAAGAAAATCCCTCTTCACTTTTCCCCAAAGGAGTCTGTGTTGCTCGGTCTCTCCTAGTCTGCTGAGGCCCTGCGACTGTGTCTCTCCCCCCCCCCCCCCTTTAAACCCCCAGAAGGAGGCGGCGGTGGCGGCGGCGGGGCTCCCGGGAGCAGGAAAGGCGGCGGGCGAGAGAGCCGGCCGGCGTCGGAAGGGAGAGGGCCTCGCCGGGATGGCTTCTGCTGCGCGGCGGGTCGCATCAGTTGCCGGCTCGCAGTCGACGGTGCAACTTCCACTGATCTCCGACGGCGTCTCCGGGTCCAGGCCGCGATCTGGTCGCTCGCACCGGTTGCAGGTGGGGCAACTGAGGCTTGCGTAATAGCTCAATGGATTCGAACCGGAGACTTCCTGCCGAGCCGAGCCCGAAGTTCTCTCTGGCGCCCGGCTGGCGCGCTCCCAAAGGGGGCCACCGGCTCTGGCGACAGGAAGATTCCGGCTGCCTCCCTGGCCTGGATCGGTTCCTCCACACAGACCAGCCCGCGCTCCACTCAGCAACCGGCACGGGGGGGGAGCAAGATCCGTCCACCTCGAAAGAAGAAAAAAGACCGGAGTTTCTTCTTGCAAGAGAGGAGGGACTTTTGTTGGGTGATAGTGAGATATTGAAAAAAATTGTATTTAGCAGAGATAAAATAGTCTAGCAGAGCCAGAGTAAAATAATTTAGACTCAGGGTCCATGTGTGATTAAAATATAAAGTTTTTACTAAATTCTAGCATGGGGAAGGGTAACTGGGATGAAAATAACAACAGAGCATAATCGACTACATCCTTACTCTACAAAGACAAAACTAGAAGAGAGAGATTACGGCTACTCTCCTTCTTCTTGTTCAGAACACCAAACAAAGACGGGAAGAGAAGCCATAAAATGGTAACACACCTTGACACTTTAGTCCCAATCAAATCCCTAGATCAGGGAGAAAATTCCCCGGGCTTTCCACATCTAAAGAACATTGGTTACATGAGAAACATGCGACTTAACCCCAGATAGACTGAGTGTTTTCAACGTGTAATACCCAACAACTTTGCAATAGCTGCTTCCCTGAAGTGCAACACCAGACATTTCCAAACCCTACAGTTATGAAGGCTGCCATCCACCGTTCCTTGAGAGCAAGTCGCAGCGAGCACAGGATGGGGCGGCGCGGCTGCAGTCAACAGCACGGGCGCTACACAGGCTCTCCTGGCCACAAACAGTTTCAAGACATAAATGGGGGCGGGGGGGGAAGCAGCAGCAGAAGAAGAAGCAGCAGAAGCAGAAGTTTTTATACACCCCTTTTCTCCACCCTAAGGAGTCTCAAACGGCTTACAATCATTTAATCAAATTAAACTCTGGACTAAATTCGCTGCCGGAGGATGTCGTGATGGCTGCAGGAATAAACCGCTTTTAAGGGGGATTAGATAGATTCCTGGAGGAGACGTCTATCCGCGGCTACGAGCCATGGAGACTGAGGGGAACCTCCATGTCACTAAGCCTCTGAATCCCAGAGCCAGGAGGCAACACGAGGCCTTGGCCTCTCTGCCCTGCTGCTGGCCTTCCAGAGGAGCTGGTCGGCCACTGTGTGGGTGTTGGGTGATAGTGAGATATTGAAAAAATGGTATTTAGCAGAGATAAGATAGTCCAGCAGAGCCAGAGTAAAATAATTCAGACTCAGAGTCCATGTGTGATTAAAATATAAAGTTTTTTACTAAATTCTAGCATGGGAAGGGTAGCTGGTGGGATGAAAATAACAACAGAGCATAATCGGCTACATCCTTACTCTACAAAGACTAAACTAGAAGAGAGAGAATGTGGCTACTCTCCTTCTTCTTGTTCAGAACACCAAACAAAGACGGGAAGAGAGCCATAAAATGCTAATACACCTTGACACTTTAGTCCCAATCAAACCCCTAGATCAGGGAGAAAATTCCCGGGCTTTCTACAGCTAAAGAACATTGGTTACATGAGAAACAAGTGACTTAACCCCAGATATACTGAGTGTTTTCAACTTGTAATACCCAACAACAGTGGGACAGGATGCTGGACTCGACAGACCCTCACTGGTCCTACCCAACAGGGCTCTACTTACGTTCTTATGTTCTCCCTGCAAGGGTCACCTTGTGAGGAAAGCGTTCTGCTGCCTGGGCGGAAGGACTGCCTGATCCTCCGCCAGGGTACAGGGAAAGGGGGCAGCCCGGAGGGCGGCACTTGGATCCGGGAGCATCCCGGTCCGAATCCTGACCCTGTCATGGAGGCTGGGTGGGTGGGTGGCCTTGGGCCGGTCACAGGCGCCCAAGTCCCGCCTCGCTCACCTGTCGCTGTGAGGACAGGTGGAGGGACAGGAGAACTGCGCAAGTCGCTTTGGGTTCTTCTGGAGGAGAAAAGCGGAGGAGCATAAACGGTGTCAACACAGCGACCCGATCGAAATAGCGGCCTGATCCCAAACTGCGTTACGCACGGATCAAGGTGGGCAGCCGCGCTGGATAAAAACACCTCGGGAAAAACTTCGTTGGTCTTAAAGGTGCCCCTGGACCCTCACCTTACTCGTCATGGGTCAGCCCCACGGATTTCAGGCGCGCTTTCTGGACGCGCAGCCCCCAGGGACTGGGGCGTCAGCAGTCGGGAGCCTGAGTCCCACTGGGAGCGCCGGACGGACCACCAGACACCCGCTGGGCCTTACCGAGGCCGCCCGGCCGCTCGGAGCCTTGCTGGCCCTCCTAGAGGGACTGACCGGCCACCGCACGAGACCGGGGGCTGACATGGACGGACCCCTGCCCGGAGCTCTCCGATGCCCTTTTGCTTCTGGTGCAAATCGGCTGTCGTCGCCCCCTTCTTCCCCGCGGTGTCCCCAAGGGCCCTCGAATTCGAAGCGGGGCCGCCAGACCCAGCAGGGTCAGCCCAAAGGAAGCGCTTTCGAGCAGGGACCCCCGGCTGGACCCAAACCCCGGCGGAGCCGGTCGGCCTCCAGAGGACCAGGCCGCGGGGCTGGCAAGCTGACCTACCCGGGCTTGCGGGTAAAGCAATTCTGCTGCTCGTGGTGGCGGAGCCTCTGCTTGGCAGGCAGAAGGTCCCGGGTTCAATCCCCGGCGGCATCTCCAGTTGAAAGGGCCCGGCAGCGGGCGATGGGGAAGACCTCCGCCGGAGACCCTGGGAGGAGAGCCGCTGCCAGTCGGAGCGGGCAACACTGACTCTCGGGCTGAGGAGGCGCCATCTCGTCCGGCAGAAGGCCGCGCCGCGTGTCTCCGCGCAGGGGATCATCCGCTCCAGGGCCGGCGCAAGGGAGGGCGGACGCCCGGCTACTAGGCCCCGCCACAAGCGCTCCTCGTCTGCGGCCTCGACGAACCCGAGGGCCGGGCAGGCCGCTCCGCTTCCAGAGGGCGCCTGGAAATGCTCAGGGCTGCTGGTCACAGAGCAGGGACGGAATAACCCGCTTCCAATCTGCGTCCCAAAGGGATTGTGCCAGCTGTTCACACAGCAAAAAAAATCCATCTGGAAAGTGCCCTGGAAGTGGACGATTGAGGCCACCGCAGCCTGTCCGATTCCTTCTTTTCCATCCGCCCCTCTCCAGTCCGTGACTGGAAAGCAACGGGAAAGGGCGGCCCGAGACCTCCTCGACTGCGTCGGGCTTGCCCCGCCATTGCAGAACGTCGAAGAAGGGGCCTCCTCCGCTCCGGAATGGCTTCGTAGCGGGCGGTTCCCCTCCAGGCCGCCGGCTTCTCTTTTTGTGCTGACAGTCCCACTGGTGTAGTGGTTAAGTGCACGGACTCTAATCTGGGAGAACCGGGTTTGATTCCCCACTCCTCCACTTGCACCTGC